AGAAACTGTCTTTATTCCATTGGATATTCTTTCCTGCTTTGTCAAAGACTAGTTGGCCATACGTTTGTGGATCCATTTCTGGGTTCTCTATATTGTTCCATTGATCTGATTGTCTGTTTTTGTGATTTTTTTTTTTAACAAATGTTTTAAATGTTTATTTTTGAGAGAGAGACAGAGACAGAGAGAGCAGGGAAGGGGCAGAGAGAGAGGGGGACAGAGGATCTGAAGCGGGCTCTGTGCTGACAGCAGGGAGCCTGATGTGGGGCTTGAACACACAAACCTGAGCTGAAGCCAGACACGTGACCAACTGAGATACCCAGACGCCCTTGTTTCTGATGCTATTCAAAAGTCATATAAGTTCATCATCAGCTTTCCAATTACCTTTTCAATCACTTGTAAAATTTCTTTTTCTCATCATTACTCTAATTTCTTCTGTCTGCAAATTGTCACTTCAAATTGAGAAAACTAGAATTTGTGGTTTGTATTAGTCAGCTTGGCTGCCATAACAAATTACCACAGACTGAATGCCTTAAACATCAGAAATTTTATTTTCTCATAGTTCTGAAGCTTGGAAGTCCGAGATCAGGAGGCCAGCCTTGTCGAGTTCTGGTGAGGGCCCCCTTCTTGGCTTGCAGACAGCTGCCTTCTCACTGGGCCCTTGTTGGTGGAAAGAGAAAGCCCTGGTCTCTCCTTCTTTCCTTTTTTAAATGTTTATTTACTTTTGAGAGAGAGAGCAGGGGAGGGGCAGAGAGAGGGAGATAGGATTGGAAACCAGAAATGGGCCCTATGCTGATAGCAGAGAGCCCAGAGAACCCCATATAGGGCTTGATCTCACAAGGCCTGAGCTGAAGTCAGACGCTTAACCAACTGAGTCACCAGGTGCCTCCTTTTTTCTTGACACTAATCCCATCATGGGGATTCTACCCTCATGATGTCATCTGAACCTAATTACTAAGACCCTACCTCTAAATGCTATCACAATGGGGGTTGTTAAGGCTTCAACATATGAATTTGGGGGTGGGGCTGGGAGACACAAACCTTCAGTCCACAACAAAGTTAAAAAAACACCTACTCTAAAAAAATAATTGAATTGCCAATATTTAATGTTTACTCTTTAAAAGCACATGTGCATGCAGTACAGACTAATTTTGAGATAAAAAAACCCAAACTATAAATAATTATATCATAATTAGAGATTTTATCATATCTTTTAGTTCTGTGGATATAGAACCTACACTTCAGTTATTTTTTTTAAGATAAATTCTCTCTTTTTTTTAATGTTTAATTTTGAGAGAGAGAGAGCGAGCAGGGGAGGGGCAGAGAGAGATGGAGACACGGAATCTGAAGCAGGATCCAGGTTCTGAGCTGTCAGCACAGAGCCCCGTGAGGGGCTCAAAATCACAAACTGCGAGGTCATGACCTGAGCCGAAGTCAGATGGTTAACTGACTGAACCATCCAGGCATCCCAAGTTATTATACTTGGAATGGTACATTTTTATTACAATCTAATTTTTATACAAACTTTAAAAGAACTCATTCTGTTTGAAAGATAGTGATTGCCTTAGTTTACTACGAGTTAATCACCAGGAGGTGCTGGTCTTTTTGCAACATCACCTGCTTTTCTCCTGCCTGCCAGATAGCAGTTTGGAGAAGAATCCATTTAGAGCTTACCACCCACCATTCACATAACAGATTCCATGCAGGTCAAAGAGGCAAACAAAGGATATTGAGGAAAACAGATTATAGCATGTTTTTGCCAGTAAAAGTTGTTAATTGGCCATGGGTGTTGATTATATCCTCCAGTGGAGTTTTTATTGTTCTTTGGCTATTTTTTTATTTTTTATTTTTTTAATGTTTATTTATTATTGAGAAACAGAGAGACAGAGCATGAGCAGGGGAGGGGCCGAGAGAGGAGGAGACACAGAATCGGAAGCAGGCTCCAGGCTCTGAGCTCTTAGCACAGAGCCTGATGCAGGGCTTGAATTCACAAACCGGACATCATGACCTGAGCTAAAGACGGGCTTAACTGACTGAGCCACCCAGGCGCCCCTTTGGCTGTTTTTATGTAGAAGATGAGGACAGTTTTTGCCAGTTAAGAGTGATTACCTGATTTTAACATATCTTTATTTCACTTCCAATGTGAATAGGTTCATATTCTCATGAGAACATCCTCATGTGTATTTTCTGACTTTTTTTGTCTAATATATGCACACTTAATACTGGACTAGGACATCTTACACTATTTGTCTCTGGAGTTAAATTAAAGACTTCAGAGGAACCAGCAATTTGGGGGCTGTTAATTTTGTGCTTTCATGTTTCTTGAGAAGTAGGAGGACATGCCTTTCTATTCTAAATACATCTGTAAAATCCTGATATCGAGCAGGCTTTGGCACGATTTTGATGAACATATTCAGTAAAAGATCTCTGTTTTCCAGGATAGATAAGAAAACCTCTCTCTATGTGGCTCCCGCCATAGAATTTGACGTATTCTTTGGTTATGGCCAATTTGGGCTCCACCCCCATCTGTACCCTAGGATTTCCACCTCCCTCCTTTGCAGCTGGCACCTCATGGCTAACCAGAGGGGCTGGTGTGCAGATGAGCATAAGGAGAAAGGGGTTCATTAAGGCTCAGTCTATAAATCATCCTTAAGCCCCATTCCCTATTCCCACCCCTCCCCCCAGTCACATGCAGTAAGGCCTCTTTCCCCTCCCCCTAAATACATTCCTTTTATATTTCTCTTCCTTTGTGCAGACTAACCCTTGACCCTCATTTAAACCCAGTTTCACCCAAAGCAGCACGGGGAATGGGAACATAACATGACATAAGTGGGAATCATAACTTTTCTTCCCTTGGAACCGGAACCCTTTAGGTTTGGCCCTAGGCTTTTTTTTCCAGGAATGACTAAAAATATGATGTATTTCCTTCATTTTGGCTTAGTGCTAAGAGTCTAATGTAGCAAGAAGGATAAGAAAGCATGATAATAGGCCACTGAAAATCTGTGGATTTATCGCCAAGCTGGCTTTCCCCTCTTTCCTTTGGAGCCTGCCCTTGCCGGTGAAATGTGCAGCATTTTTGCTGACTAGCTTGGTAGCAACTAGTCAACTAGCTAGTTGGTAGCTCAACTAGCAAGGGCTGTTGAGCCCTTGGAATGTAGCTGGTCCATATTTAAAGGTGCCATAAATGTAAAACATACACTGTACAGAAAAGTCTAAAAATGGATGAACTACCTCAATCATTCTAAAATATTGATTACATATTAAAATAATATTTGAGGGTTTGGATACAATAAATGTATTGTTAAAATTAATTACACATGTTTCTTTTTACTGTGGCTACCAGAAATTTTAAAATTACATTTGTGGGCGCACCTGGGTGGCTCAGTCAGTTGAGTGTCTGACTCTTGATTTCGGCTCAGGTCATGATCCAGGGTCGTGGGATTGAGCCCCGTATTGGGCTTCATGTTGAGTGTGGAGCCTGCTTAAGATTCTCTTTCTCTCTCTCTCTCTCTCTCGCTCACTCGCTCGCTCAGTCGGTTAAGTGTCTGGCTCAGATTATGATCTCATGGTTCATGAGTTTGAGCCCTGCATTGGGCTCTGTGCTGACGACTCAGAGCCTGGAGCTGGCTTTGGATTCTGTGTCCCCCCCTCCCCTTCCCTTCCCCTGCTCATGCTCTGTCTCTCTCTCTCTCTCTCTCTCTCAAAAATAAACATTAAAAAAAATTTTTTTAGACCCTATTTCAATTTGAGGATTTGGAGTGTTTAAATTTGTTATTTATACTCAGTAAAATTTGAAATTTATAATCAATTTATAATTATTATGTACCTAACATAAAAATTATGAAATAAAATTGAAAAGAAAAACGACTCAAAATGCACTAAGAGATGAATTTGCAGATCAAACTAGGAGGTTCCCAAATGTGCTCATTTTCTGCCTCCATTTCCTGGACTCATTTCAGGTTTATATGCGGAGCTAAATCAGAATGGTAAGAAGAAGCCCGTTACATTTTGTACTTGATTTCCACAGTGTAGGCTACATTAGTTTGCTTTAGGCTTTAAGGGAGAAGAAGTCCCAGTTTTATGGCAACTTGAGGGGAAGGAGAAGAGGTTCATGGTACCTTCTCTTCTAACGTTTAAAAAGAGAAGAAGAAAAGAGAAGAGAAAGTGTGTGTTTCCTGTGCAATCTCTGTGTCATTTCAAAATCTCACTAAGATGGTGCTGGTTTGAGTTGTACAAACGCAAGTGCTGCTCTCAGTCTTCTCCCAGAAGGCAAGCTGACTTGGTATTCCAGAAACTGAGTTTGGTTGGTTTGTCTGCAGGGTGTCTGGTTTCAGCTGGCAGAGGCCGTGGAAGGGGGGAAATGCCACATGAGCACTCCTGTCAGGTGGGGGCCTCAGGTGGCACAGAAGGACCCTGAGGCTTGTCCCGAAAGCTTGTGCTGGGCTCTGTAGTTTAACGTTTTTATTCTGCAAAATATTCTAAAGGAAAAGCTTTTTTTCTCTAGCATTCTGGTTACAGGGACAGTTGTGGAGCTGTGACAGGCCCAAGTTCTAGTACAGACTCTGTCCCTAATTAAATATGTCTTTGGACTTCAGTCTCCTCAGCTGTAAAGTGAGAATGATAATGCTGACTACACCATAGGGATCTTATGAGGACTAAATATGATCATTTAAATGGTTTAGCATAATGCTTGCCACATAGTCCGTACTTCGTACACGCTCACTGTGTTTATTGCCTTAGCTCCTTGTTGAAGACTTGCACGTGAGGAAACCAGTGTGTGAATGAAGATGTTGCAGGAGGGGAGGGGTCCACCCCGGTAAAAGCTGAACCACTTCTTCAGTGTTTCCTTCAAATAGAGGGCTAACGTAGGCTCACACGGATCATGCAGTCCCTGTGAGAAGGCTGGAGGTCCTGAGGGGTTTGGGTCTTCTGCCCCAGACCACCAGAGTTCAGGACGGTTCTTGAAAATCTGATAACAAGGGCCAATCCTTGGAGTCTCTGACTCTGAAAGCAAGAAGCAGAAGCGAGACCAGAATCAGCCTTGGAGTGCCTGGGTCTAGTGTCGGCCCCCTTAAGGGATCAAGTGATTGAAGGTGCACGGCCCTTCTCCATCAGTTCTCCAGTCCTCCGCTGGCCATGCCTGCTCTCCTCAGGCTGGGAATCAGAACTAGAATGGCCCATCTTAGGGAGGGGGCCAAGCTCAGTAAGCGTGCCCATGTCAGTACAGTATCCTTAACATTGAATTTGTGTTACAAGGACTCCTGAGCAGATGCCTGCCTTTAGGAGACAAGGCTCAGCGTGCATACTGCATCTAGAAGGAAGAGCACACTGCTGTCCCAGTCGACTAGACATTTTTGAAAATATTTTTTATCATTTTCTTTTTGTTTAAGATTTGATTCTTTGTCTTTTTCTCCATTTTAGATTTACCCTCTAGTTCTTTATTTCCCTACCTAGTAACACCCCGTGTTACCTCCTTACCACCTTCCCTCTCTCCTTACTCCCCGACGCTCACATCACCAAAAAAAACACGTTCATTTCCTGCTGTCTTGTTTATCCTGAATTTGCATTGGGTGTTGATCTGGATAACCTAAGAAGTTGAAGAAAAAGATAACTGGGATTCATCAATGCCTTCTGATAGCATTTATGCGGCTAAATAGCCTTGGGGCCACAGGTATTGATCCTTTTGAAGATAGGGGCTTGCCCAGATCACTGAAAGATTGAACTTCCCTCTCCACGTATAGTTGTGATTTTTTGTATTGCAGGGAGAAAAGATCAGATACACAGAAAGACTGGAAATTCTTTGAGGTGAGTCAGTTACCTTTTGGGGCTTTTCTCTTTTATATGAAACATGAAGTAGACCAAGAACCAATAGCCATGTGTCAGGCACTTATTTTTAGTGAATATCTTTTCTTCAAAGGATGCTAACAAGCTGTATGCCATCTCTTAAATTTTCCTCCTGCAAAGGTGAGTACATGTGTAATTCGCCACCACTTTTCAGGAATGTGCAGAAATTGGGTTATCTGGGTTCGTGTCTGCTTAGCAATGTTCTATAGACAGGTGAGAGTTCCTACCACCATAGCTGTGCACTGTGATTCTTGTCTGTTTTCTGTCGTAGTCCTTTTACACTTTCTGTACATATGTAGCTTGGATTGTGTTCCGACGTCAACACTTCACAGAGATTGAGGAAGAAATAGGAAGGCTCTTCCGTACCAATATGTTCAACATTCCTCGGAGGAAGCGTGAGGAGGAGGAATCAGGAGGGGAAAAGAAACGCATGACTTTTGTACAATTCAGGTATGACATTTTGACTTTCCAAAGCTCGAGAACATTTCTAGAAAACTGGATGATGTAACCTAAATGTTACCTCTTCCCACCCAGGAGAATGATGGCGAAACGCCCAGCAATTAAAAAAGCCATTAACATGCGCTCTCCAGTCATGTCTACTCTGCTGCCATCTCTCAGAGAAAAAGCTCAGAATATCTTTGAGAAAAAGTGTCATCAAGGAGTCGTCAAACTCCCGGCCCCGATGCAAGAGCACATGGAAAGTCTGGACTCTGTGCTCATGCCAAAGTAAGTGGTCCAAGGAGAGAGAAAGGAGAGCCCTGGGTTGTGTGCTAGGTTGGGCTGGGAGGGGCAGGGGTTTAGACGCCGTGCCAAGGCCAGAAAGTTGAGCGAAGATGAAAGCACCACCTTCCTACTCACCCCCTCCCCTCTGTACCTGCTTCCTTTCCCAGGCAGCTCTTGGTACACCCATCTAGACTAGAAAACATTGCTAGAAAGTTATGCTAGCCTTCAGATAGTTCTCATTTGGAGGAGGGAGTAGCAAACTCCATAAGCTGAGGGTTTTCCATTAGAAGACATATCTCTGGTAAGTGTGAGGAGAACCATTACAAAATCTTACTGTGGGCTGCTTTTGGACCCCTATTTAAAATCACAGTGGTAGTTCATGGAAACGGAAAACTTCTATGTGTGTGTGTAATATGTGCATGTGTGTACGTATGTGTGTAGCTTACACACAAGCACACAACCACAGCTATACACCTCATTCTTTGGCCACACTGCTTCAGCTATACCAATAATTCTTTTCACAGAGTTGGCATCTTGGGGGAGCCTCGATGTCAGTTCAACCCCCATACCCTCCTCCCCCTTGAACCAGAAGAAAACAAAAGAATGTCTGGGATACATTCTTCCCTGGTAGAAAGAAAGAACATGAGGATCCAGGATACACTGGACTTAGTCACGAGAACATTGTCCTCTCAAACAACATTCCCTAAATAACCTGGTACATTCCAGTTCTGTAATTAAGTCCCTGCATTTGAAGTAAACTACTTCAACTTAATCACTTTGTATAGGACTAATATTTATTATTATTACGCTTTTTAAATTGTTCAAATTATTTTGTTAAAAGTTCAACAGTGGACTATTAAAAGAAATTTCAGAAAGCTCTTGAAAAGCTCATTTTCCTATATTTACTAGTTTGCTTTGTTATTTAGTTACTTCCTTGGCTTCTCTGTGACTATTTAGAGTAACGTATTAGAACGTTTAACCAGTGTTCTAGCAGACTAGTGAAGAGACAGTCTGTTTAGGGGGCGCCTGGGTGGCTCGGTTGGTTGAGCATCCGACTTCAACTCATGTCACGATCTTGCAGTTCGTGAGTTCAAGCCCAACGCTGGGCTTGCTGCTGTCGGCGCAGAGCCTGTTTCGGCTCCTCTGTCTCCCTTTCTCTCTGCCACTCCCCTGCTTGTGCTCTCTCAAAAATAAATAAAACACCTAAAAAAATAAAAGAAACATTCTGTTTGTTTCTAAGTTCATTTTTACTTTATAAGAGTATCTTTGGTACATTTGAAAATGAAATTTTAGGGGCGCCTGGGTGGCGCAGTCGGTTGAGCGTCCGACTTCAGCCAGGTCACGATCTCGCGGTCCGTGAGTTCGAGCCCCGCGTCGGGCTCTGGGCTGATGGCTCAGAGCCTGGAGCCTGTTTCCGATTCTGTGTCTCCCTCTCTCTCTGCCCCTCCCCCGTTCATGCTCTGTCTCTCTCTGTCCCAAAAATAACAATAAAACGTTGAAAAAAAAAAAAAAAGAAAAGAAAATGAAATTTTATAAGGGAAATAAAATGTTTTTAAAATTAAATCTCGATGGCTATGTTATTTTTTGCGTTGAGATATAAAGTACATCTTGCTCATTTCAAACCCTTTTAACATATACGTTTCATTCATTCTTTCGTTTACTCATTTGACAACAAATATGTATTGAGCCTCTGCTCTAGGTGTGCCTGGATGGCTTAGTTGGTTAAGCGTCCAACTTCGGCTTAGGTCATGAACTCACAGTTCATGGATCCGAGCCCTGCGTTGGGCTCTGTGCTGACAGCTCAGAGCCTGGAGCCTGCTTAGGATTCTGTTTCCCTCTCTCTCCGCCCCTCCCCAGTTCTCACTCAGTCTCTCTCTGTCTCTCAAAAATAAACATTAAAAAAAAAAAAAAAAAGCCTCTGCTCCATCCAAAGCCTTGTGGTGGGTTATGTAGGGAAAAGGGATCATCAAGACAGAGACCATATCCTCAGGTCTGGATGGTAGAGAAGATAAATAAAATACACACCTGCTCACAAGACAATTTTAAATGTATTAGAGGCCATGAAAGAGATAAAAACCAAGTGCCCTAAGATGACCGAGCAGAAGAACAATCACTTCTAGGGGGACTGGGAGCATTCTGACTCAAATTTGGCTTTGCAGGGATTGGGTGACACTAAAGGGGGACTTCCGGTCAAGAAAGAACGTGTGCAAGGACACAGAGATGAAAAAGTGTGCCCTGTGAGGAAAGGCAAGAGCACAGTGGAGCAGAAGGCAAAGGACAGCTAAATGTCCACTAGGGAGTGAGTTGGATGTTACCTGGCAGACGACGATTAGAAATCACTCGGGAAAGCACTCCACTATGTGGAATACAGAGCCACTGGTTCTATGTTACCATTTTAAAGTCCTGTAGGAGTTTCACCTGTTAACTGGATTGAATTAATCTTTCTGTGGTCACAAAGTTTATCCTCAAGCTTCAAAATCCTCCTCGGGCACCTGGGTGGCTCTGTTGGTTAAGCGTCTGACTCTTCATTTCAGCTCAGGTCATGATCTCTCAGGTTCATGAGATCGAGCCCTGCATTGGGCTCTGTGCTGACAGCATGGAGCCTGCTTGGGATTCTCTCTCTCCTTCTCTCTCTGCCCCTTCTCCATTTGCACATGTGCTCTCTCTCGCTCTCTCAAAATAAACATTAAAAAAAAATCCTCCTGCTAGCCTTTAGCTAAAAATGCATTCATTTCACAGAGAAAACTGGACACCTTCCCCAGATTTAATATCAAGAGCAGAGGCACATCAACTCCAGCCTATGGCTAACGCAGGATGGCTTCAACATACCCTCTGTCTTCATGCTGTTATTCTTTACCATCCAAGTCAATTCTGGTGACGACTCCCATTAAAACTGCAAAGTTTTTATCAAAATCGCAGGCTATGAACTAACTTTTGTTGGACTTTTACGTAGAGAATTTGGTTATAATACACTCCATCATGACAAGTTTCTATCTAGAATATGTTGACATGGTTTTATTTTTGGTTTTTATTTTTTTATATTTAAAAATGTTTCAAAAATTTTTAATGTTTGTTTTTGAGAGAGAGACAGACACAGAGACACAGAGTGTGAGCAGGGGAGGGGAAGAGAGAGAGGGAGACACGGAATCCAAAGCAGGCTCCAGGCTCTGAGCTGTCAGCACAGAGCCTGACACGAGGCTCGAACTCATGAACCGGCAGATCATGACCTGAGCTGAAGTCAGACACTTAACCGACTGAGCCACCCAGGTGCCCCTAGTTTTTGATATTTTAAAATAAAACCTGGGAATTATGAGACTTTTATAACTATCTTTCCTAGGGTGTTAGGCTTTTCTCTACCTCCCTTCTGAACAACGAGGCTTTGGTGTACATCATTTATCAATTCCTTCATTTGTTTACTCATTTTTTCATTCCATAGTTGGTATATCCCCACTCTGTGCTGGGCACCATGTTTGGTGCTAGGAATTCAGTGTGGAAAAAATATAGCCAGCTCTGACTTGGAACCAACAAGTCTTGGGGAGAGACAGACGGGAAACATACTCAGATATTGAACTAATCAAGTGGGGATGAATACCGCACAAGAGAAAAAGAATGCCAAGAGTGTGTAACCAGAGACTTGCTGGTATGTGAGAAATGGGCAGGGGAGGGAGAAGTCATCCCTGAGGAAGTAAGACTTGAAGGCACATGGGATCAGAGCAGTGGGAAGCGAGGAGGGAAGTACTCCTAACTGTATTAGTTACCTATTGCTGTGAAACAAATTACCCCAAAACATAGTGGCTTAAAAGAGTAACATTTAGGGGCGCCTGGGTGGCGCAGTCAGTTAAGCGTCCGACTTCAGCCAGGTCACGATCTCGCGGTCCGTGAGTTCGAGCCCCGCGTCGGGCTCTGGGCTGATGGCTCAGAGCCTGGAGCCTGTTTCCGAGCCTGTGTCTCCCTCTCTCTCTGCCCCTCCCCCGTTCATGCTCTGTCTCTCTCTGTCCCAAAAATAAATAAACGTTGAAAAAAAAAAAAAAAGTAACATTTATTGTCTCACAGTTTCTGTGGATCAGGGATCTGGGTTTTTCATATATGACCTCTCTTATGTTGAGACATGTTCCCTCTAGACCTACTTTGCAGAGGGCTTTTTTCATGAATGGATGCTGTACTTTGTCAAATGCTTTTTCTGTGTCTATTGAAATTATCATATGGTTTTTATTCTTTCTCTATTATTGATGTGCTGTATCACATCGACTGATTTTTGAGTATTGAACCACCTTTGCAACCCAGGAATAAATATCATTTGATTGTGATAAGTGAGTTTTTAAATGTATTGTTGGATTTGATTTGCTACTATTTTGTTGAGGATTTGTGCATCTGTGTTCATTATAGATATTGGCCTGTAGTTCTCTCTCTCTCTCTCTCTCTCTTTCTCTCTCTCGTGGTATCTTTATCTGATTTTGATATCAGGGTAATGCTGGCCTCATAAAATGAGTTTGGAAGTTTTCCTTCTTTTTCTATTTTTTGGAATACTTTGAGAAGAATAGGTATTAACTCTTCTTTAAATGTTTGGTAGAATTTGCCTTTGAAGCCATCTGGTCCTGGACTTTTGTTTGTTGGGAGATTGTTGAATACTGGTTCAATTTCTTTGCGGGTAATCAGACTGTTCAAATTTTCTATTTTGTCCTGTTTCAGTTTTGGTAGGTTGTACGTTTCTAGGAATTTATCCATTTCTTCTCGGTTGTCCCAATTTGTTGGCATATAGTTTTTCACAGTATTCTCTTGTAATTGTTTGTATTTCTGTGGTGTTGGTTGTTATTTCTCCTCTCATTTGTGATTTTATTTATTTGGGATTTTTCTCTTTTTTTCTTGATAAGCCTGACCAGAAGTTTATCAATTTTAATGACCTTTTTTCAAAGAACCAGTTCCTGGTTTCATTGATCTATTTTATTGTTTGTTTGTTTGTTTGTTTGTTTTAGTTTCTATATCATTTATTTCTGCTCTAATCTTTATTATTTCCTTCCTTTGCTTGTTTTAAGTTTTGTTTGTTCTTTTTATAGCTCCTTTAGGTGTAAGGTTAGGTTGTTTATTTGAGATTTTTCTAGCTTCTTGAGATAAGCCTGTATTGCTATAAAGTCTCTATTGGAACCACTTTTGCTGTATCCCAAACGTTTTGAAACATTGTGTTTTCATTTTCATTTGTTTCCATGTACTTTTTAATTTCTTTTTTATCTCTTGGTTTACTCATTCATTGTTTAGTAGCATGCTATTTATGTCTATGTATTTGTGGTCTTTCCAGATTTTTTCTTGTGGTTGACTTCTAGTTTCATAGTGTTGTAGTCAGAAAAGATGCATGGTATGACTTTGATCTTTTTTAATTTGTTGAGGCTTGTTTTGTGGCCTAATATGTGGTCTGTTCTGGAGAATGTTCCATGTACACTTGAAAAGAATGTGTATTCTGCTGTTTTAGGATGGAATGTTCTGAATATGTCTGTTAAATCCATCTGATTCAGTGTGTCATTCAAAGCCATTTTTTCCAGGGCACCTGGGTGGCTCAGTCAGTTAAGCATCTGACTCCTGGTTTCAGTTCAGGTCATGATTTCTCAGTTCATGGGTTTGAGCCCCATGTCGGGCTCCACACTGACAATGCAGAGCCTACTCATGATTCTCTCTCTGTCCCTCTCTCTCTGCCTCTCCCCTGCTCTCTCTCTCTCTTT